AGTTAAAAAAACAGATAAAAAGTCCAAAAGCAATATTACTTTTTATATGGGTTCCAAGATGCATGGACCCTGAGAGTTCATTATCCTTTTAAGTATCAAAAGCTTAATTTTTGTGTGTTTTTCCCAGCTGCTCCAAGGGAGAAAGATGTGGCCATGTGCTTCTGTCCAGGTGAGAGCCTTGGAAACCCTCTGGGGCAGTTCTACTCTTTCCTATAGCATCACTATGGAGTTCTGGCGTGGCACTGTGGGGTAATGCACTGGACTGCAAAGTCAGTTTGAACTTCAAGGTTGGCAGTTCAAGTTCACCAGCTGCTCCTCGGAAATTCTATATAGGGCACTCTGGGTCGGAACCAACACAACAGCACTTAACAACAACAGCATAGGATCACTATGAGTCAGAATTGACTCAGAAACAGGTTTGGTGGGGAGTTTTGGCTTCTTTGGTATCTAATGCATTTTTTCCCTTAAACTATGAGTTAAATTATAACCATTCTGATCACCATCAAAGTAGTAATTCCCAAATGCCTTCCTGCTGGCAACCCTGGCCAAGTAACTTTTCCTTTCTTCATACCAGTTAAATCAACAACCACACATACTCACGGGGCTCTTATGAGGACACACTAAGACAAGGGATGGAAAGCATTTAATAAGGTACTGGATGCAGGCTTAGTTGTGATATAGTAAGTACAAGCCATGAGTGTTAGTGCCATGATTACTGCCATCAACATGCTACACAGAAAAGCCTTCTAGTCAACTATGGGCTAAAAGATTTAACTGGGGCTCAGTTCCCAAAACTCCATGTCCAAAAGCCAACATTAAGGAACTCAGCTGGCCAGGCTGACAACTTAGCAACCAACAATGACACAGTAATGTTGGATGCAGCCCCCAGGGACATGTTTTCTTATATTTACACTAAATGTCAGCATCTCTACCAAATAAAATAGCTCAAAAACAAATCTAAACAAAGAAAAATGATAAACGATCGGAGAGGAGGGAGGGAGAGAGTGGAAGGGAAGAGACAAAATGAGAAGAGACAAGAATGAAAATATGAAGGGGCTTCAAAAAGTTTCACTACCTTCTAGTTCCATTTTCCCATGAACTTTTTGAAGCCCCTCATAGCTAAATATACGCATATTTGGGTGTTTTGTTTTGTTTTGTTCTGGTGACTGTCCTTTCATACCATCTTCACCATACAAAGAATTACAGAGAAACTAAAATATGTGGGGGACC